TACTGTCTGAAGCTTCTCAACTTTGCCAAAGTGTAACTTCCAAGAACTGAAACCCATCGTGCAACAACATTTTCCTGCCAAGACACTGGCTAAATGATGCCTTTTTGAGGTTCACCCACCTGGCTTCTCCCAGCTGCTTCCAGGCGTCTGCTGGGATCTCGCTGCACCAACCCAAGTTAAGATCCTTCCGGTTTCAAGACAAAAGAAGTTCTCAAAGACAGTCACACGTCACAACTCACAAAACGTTCCTCCAGCGCTGCGCATTTGGCCAAGGAAAGGAGGAGCACGGCGGCCCCTTCTGCGCCCACTTTGTCTGAATGGAAGCACCTTCAAAACAGGGAGAAGTCAGTGCTTTTAGACGTTGAGACATCTTCTCAAAGTGAAACTCTGACAGCAAAATATGACCAGACAATCTGAATCACTCAGTGGAAACTGGTGACAACCAACAGATATATCATTGGGAGAAGATGCGGGTGGGACACGTAGGATCAAGGCAATCACAACTCGCTACTGTCTGAAGCTTCTCAACTGCTGCAAAGTCTCAAGTCCACGAACTGAAACCCATCGTGCAACAACATTTTCCCGCCAAGACACCGGCAAAATGATGCCTTTTTGAGGTTCACCCACCTGGCTTCTCCCAGCTGCTTCCACGCGTCTGCTGGGATCTTGTAGCAAAAAACTCAAGTCAAGATCCTTCCGGGTTCAAGACAAAAGAATTTCTCAAAGACAGTCACACGTCACAACTCAGAATGTTCCTCCAGCGCTGCGCATTTGGCAAAGGAAAGGAGGAGCACAGCGGCCCCATCTGCGCCCTTTGTCCGTGCATCGAAGCACCTTCAAAACAGGGAGAACTCAGTCTGCTTTTAGATGTTGAAACATCTTCTCAAAGTAAAACTCTGACAGCAAAATGTGACCAGACAATCTGAATCACTCAGTGGAAACTGGTGACAACCAACAGATATAACCTTCGGAGAAGATGCGGGTGGGACACGTAGGATCAAGGCAATCACAACTCGCTACTGTCTGAAGCTTCTCAACTTCTGCAGAGTCTCAAGTCCACGAACTGAAACCCATCGTGCAACAACATTTTCCTGCCAAGGCACCATTGAAATGATGCCTTTTTGAGGTTCACCCACCTGGCTTCCCCCAGCTGCTTCCAGGCGTCTGCTGGGATCTCGCTGCACCAACCCAAGTTAAGATCCTTCCGGTTTCAGGACAAAAGAAGTTCTCAAAGACCGTCACACGTCACAACTCAGAATGTTCCTCTAGCGCTGCGCATTTGGCCAAGGAAAGGAGGAGCACAGCGGCCCCATCTGCGCCCTTTGTCCGTACATCGAAGCACCTTCAAAACAGGGAGAACTCAGTCTGCTTTTAGATGTTGCAACATCTTCTCAAAGTGAAACTCTGACAGCAAAATGTGACCAGACAATCTGAATCACTCAGTGGAAACTGGTGACAACCAACAGATATATCCTTCGGAGAAGATGCGGGTGGGACACGTAGGATCAAGGCAATCACAACTCGCTACTGTCTGAAGCTTCTCAACTTCTGCAAAGTCTCAAGACCACGAACTGAAACCCATCGTGCAACAACATTTTCCTGCCAAGACACCGGAAAAATGATGCCTTTTTGAGGTTCACCCACCTGGCTTCCCCCAGCTGCTTCCAGGCGTCTGCTGGGATCTTGTCGCAGCCACCCAAATTGAGCTCCTTCGGGTTTCAAGGCTAAAACCATGATCCCAAACAGTCACATGAATGAGTCGCACATCACAACTCACAAGGATCCTCCAGCACTGCACATTTGGCCAAGGAAAGGAGGAGTGTGGATGTCCCTTTCGCTCCAGTGATGGAGGAACAGAGAACTCGCAGTTTTCGCAGGAATTGCCGCACAGGGCCCTCCAACCAATCAGCATCTTCTTCACGAACCAAACCACTGAGAAGATGCTGCTTCGGCATTGCTGCCAAAATGGCCACTGGCACCTGGGGCAAGTCGAACACCAAAGAGCCTTCATTGCACCGGAAGAAACCGGAAGCGCCTCGTTTGGGCAGTTGAATGCAGCAGGAAGCGCGGAATACCTGATCTCAATCGCCTTCATCTCGTCAGGACCACCTCATTTGAAGCAAAGCTGCGCACTGTCGGCAATTTCTTGGAAAATGCACTCATTCAGAACGCACATGCGCAGCAAGATACTTTCGGACGCCAGCCGATTGAAGATAGGACATTCTACCTTCGCAGGGGAACATGCAAAAATCATCAAAAATCCATCAAACCTTCAATTTGAAAAAATGCACAAGACACCAAAATTCAATTTGTCATGCCCTGCCTTGGGCCCCAGGTAATACACAAAAAATGACCTTCCTACGCAGCTGACAGCTGTGAGAGCCAGCCACGCTCCCAACACCTCTTTTGGCAATGCCTGCACCCATGACGCAGCACGATGCAACATGATGCAACATGATGCAACATGATGCAACATGATGCGGACGGCTGACATGAAACAAACACCGCGTTCGAACAAACACTTGAAGCTGACGGCAGGCACCACCTGCCTTAGAGTGTTCAGCAAACAAGGCCTCGTTGCGCACCAGAATCTGACAGATGATCAGGGTCAGTGCCAGCATTCCGTCCAGAAACAACGACGCGTGAAACGGCAACAACGACGTCGGTTCTAGAAGCTGCCCAGGATGTGCAACGACAGCTGCCAGCACATCTACAGCATGTGCATTTCTGAACAAAAGTCTGGACGAAAATGCCAGGACCAAGATCATCACGGGTCCTCCCAACTTGAAGTTTGCGAAGCGGGTCGAAATGTGCAGCAGGTTGATGCCAAACACACGGCTCAGGACCTCCATGAAACGGACCAAAATGAGCAAAAGGAACTCCAAGTCCCAGCCAGTTTTTTTCCCTGGAAGCCCAAGAACGCGTGAAGGACGCTTATCTCGGGATGCAAAGTCCAATCCCAACATGCCGCATGATAAGCAGATGGAAGCAGCCAGGAATCCTAAGTCGGTCGGATTCAATTCCAAGTCTGCAAAGGCTTCAACCCCAGAGAGCGCGCATACCAGATAGTTGGCCTGGACGAACGCAGACGTAGCGGCTTCCGTCACCTTCCGCCGTGAAAATCAGAGGTTGGTTTAAGGTTTGACAGGTTTGACAAACTCCTCAAACAAAAATCGCACACAAAGCATGTAACATGCGAACCGTTGCAGGCAATCTCCCGTGCCTCCGCGTGTTTGCTGCACGCTAGCAGAGGGTGTTTGAAGCGGTGTGCCGCAGACCAAATGCAAAGGCCAAATGTGTGTATCTGAAACAGCACACTGCACACCCCACCCGCAATCACCAAAGCTTCAGAAGATCGAATTGCCATGATCGCATCCCTTTCTGGGCTCTCTGTGTGCAAGAAGTGCACAAAATCGTGTGCACTCAGCATGATGGGCAACGACATGCCGGCAATGTTGACGTAGAAATAGTCCATCATTCCGGTTTGAGCAAATAAAACCAGTTGTTTCACATCGAGCAGGATGTCAAGGTACCAGGCTGCCTTAGAAATCGAGATTTTCAGGAGATGTCAAGTCAAAAAATTGTTTCTTCCCGAATGTTTTTTCTGACAGTTGAAGTCATATTTTGTCTTATTGTCCAGTACAAAGGGCGAGGGTGACAAACACAAAGCAGATTTACGTGAATTCAACTGAATCTGTAATCTCGGAAAGTGAGGCCCTGACCAAATCGAGGCAAATGAGCTCGAACCAAAACATGACCGTCTGGCCAGTGGAGATCTTAACCCGTTGCCACATGTTTCGGCAGTGCAGCGTATTGGAACTCTGAGACCACTGGATCCCAGTGATGTGGTCCCGCCGGGGCCCTGAGAGACATCGGAAACCGACGATGGGTAGGACTGCTTCCTGCTCCTTGGGATCAACGATGATTGGTTTGAAGATGTCCAGATCTTTCACTTCGATGTCTGGGAGGCTGATACGTGTTCCACGACGACGTGGTGCTGGCCACACTGCGCCACCAGAAAGTGGTTCCATACGCAAGATAGTCTTGTCGGCATCTTGCGCACGAATGATAATGTGCGGATGGTAATAGAGGGCTCCACCCCCTTCGCGTACCTCAGGGACATCATTCCTTGTTTCCAATTACAGTACCTCACCACAAATGAAAAAACTCTACAACCTAGAATGGGGACAAATCATACAGTATAAAGTGGCATACATCATGATATGACATGATCTATATCATATCATATCATATGTCCATGTTTCCATGCCAGAAATTTAACGCTGGCTTAATATGGCATGCTGAACTCTAACTACCAAGGCGAAACACGACTGTCAATTTGAACTTTATAAATAATTTATAACTTTGTCGGCACTTATGAGCTGCACAGCTGGGACAAAGTCTGGAGTGCTTGGAAATTGTTTCCAACTGGTAAGATACATTGAGAGACATGATGTCTCACCAGTTTTTCTGCAGAGCGATCATTTAGGTAGTTTGCAGTTCATGCTTCCAGTGCATCTTAACTTGCAGCTTTGTGCGGGGCATCCGCCCTCCACTTGATAAAAAGAACTTCCAGAACGATCAAAAGCATTGACCTGAAGACTCATCAACAGAAAGGATTGCGCAGGAACGACATGTTCGACTATTTTCCAACACAGGTGTCAAAGTGTTCTCACTGTGTTGAGTAGTTGATGTGATCGTACATGCTTGGGTCAAACGTGCTTGTCGCTTCTTATTACGACAAGTCAAACTGATTTTCAAATGCCCGTGATTGTCGCACAAATAACATAGGGCCCTTGCCAGCATGTGACATTGCACTGAATGTGTTTTTTCCAATGTTATTCAACTGTATGTTTGTATATAAATTATGGTTGCTTCCTTTAAGAAAAAATTGGGTTGGCATAATGCTCATGTCTTTGTTTCAATGAGATCTTGCTTCCTGAAAACGCAGCAACTGCTATAACTTTGCATGATCTGAATCTGTTCACACCCCCTCAGTCCTCATCACAACAGAAGGCAAGGACATCTTCATTGCTTTCTATGGCGATCGTGTGTTCCACGATGTCCTCCGCAGGAAACTTTTCCACCGGTGCCAGGTGGATCTCTTGACTGATGCCGTCACCAGCGAGTTTCAGACTCAAAAGGAGTCCATCCTCTGCATCCTCTGGAAAGGGGTAAACCCCCTCATCCTCCACTTTCAAAGGCCAAACGATCTGGGCTGAGAAAGTTCGTCGTCGCTCGTGTTCGATGCCGACTTCCAAATCGCTATGAAGTAATGGGATCCTTGGAAAATGAAAATGAACAACGATCAGCACAGAAAAACGATGCCAAGGACTTAAAGGCCTGTGTCACTGAACCGAAATCTCCGATTGCTAGACCTGTATTTCAAAACCATGCCATTCCCAGCTTCCCATCAATAGCCTAGTTCTGTCACTCTCTGTCTCCAACATGTTGTGCTTGGCCAAAGGCACAATTCCATTTCTGCCTGTGAGACATTTGCGCCTCGGAGCAGGCAACATACCAATCATACCACATTTTTTTTCCTGTGGCTGCCATTTGCCAATGGGTCAGAGCCTGTTGAATGTCCTACATGTCAACCCTGTTGCCTGTTCCATAATCCCTACATGTGACGAATCTGCTCTGAGCCCTGTGCTTGGAGCGCCTTGCGAGCGAAAGCCCCGCGATTCGGGATTCACGCCCCGGCATTGGCCACAACCCATGGTGAAACGAGGCTCCACGGCGCTGCAAATTCTGAGCCACACCTGCCACGCAAGAAGGGCTGCATCAAACACCATCCACCGTACAATGCTCGTCATCTTAAAAGTTTGCCCGAAACGTCTTGGCAAAAGAATTGAAATCGGAATTAGACCCGTCACCCGTGCACCAAACATCCACATCCATACATCCGCTGTATGAAGATTACTTTCGCATACAACAGCCACAGCAACATTGTCCGCTGCACAAAGAAATCACAATCTGAGTGTCAAGGCCCGTGCTCTCCACGCTTTCCTCGCCGTGACACCTGGCGAATTTTTCTGCACCCATTTTCCGATCACATGTGCACGATCCAAATTTCTGTTGAATCGTTGCGTCACATTTCAAGTTGCTTCGTCAAGTTATCCCAAGGTTTCCAATTCTGAGTTGCCAGCAGCATGCAGGATGCCTTGGTGATAGTTCAGCAGTGGAAATCATTGAATTCTTATCATAGCCGCATCGATTGTCTCAAAAAACGGCAAGCTTCCAAAAAACAGCTATGGCAAGAATCAGGTTTTTCCGCGCGGGAACAAGGTGTGGTCAAAGCACTAGTCCAACTCCAAACCGTCCAAGTCTGTAATGAGGGGCACATCATCTTCATCGATAGTGAAACTCCTCAAGCGATCTTCCTCCAAGTCCACGTCCTCTTTTTCCTCATCCTCCTCCTGTTCTGGAGAATTTTCTGGATCCATCTCCTTTTGTTCATAGAGCGAACATAGACCAAGAGGAGATTCTATCCAGTCTTCTTGTTCTTCAAATTCGGTAAACTCAAAGCTATTGCACTCTTCGATCATGGAACACCACTCCGCACACATTTCAACGTCGGCCAAGAATGTGACACCATGGTAGAACTGGAATTCTTCATCATCCTCGGTGGCATTCGCCACATTTCTCACATTCGCTGCCTTCTCCAAGAGCGAGACGGCCTGGAGAGCTTTCGACATGAAGGTGGTGGGTTTGAGACATCCATTCGGCGAGCCCACGGTGCAGGTGAACAAAGCATCCTCGAAGAAGCCACCTTGCAGCTTCACCTGAGCTGGGTACATGGCATCTTTGAAGGCATGCACTTCCACTCCCGGCAAGGCCTCCGCAATGTTCTGAGCCAATGGTTTCAGCTTCATGTTCTTGGGCTGCTTGCCGGTCGAACAAGACTCCAAGAATACCGTGGATCGGGCTTCACCCTGCTCAATTAACATTGGTCGCAAGGCATCCAACAGCTTTGCAGTTTCGGAGCTTTTCATGGCAACCTGTTGACTGAGCAAGCTATCAGAGCCCAAGACCAATGTGGTCGGATTGCCATGACCAGAGATGGTCACATGTTTGATGCCTTGCCCAAAGACCTTGTCAGACTTCAAAGATTGTACAAATTCCGTGGCAGCCTTCACAGAATCGACTCTCTTGAAGATGACGTTGTAGTGTGAGCTCATCTGCAACAAACGATAACACATGGAACCAAAACTCTGCGGGCCACCATTCAATCCCTTGAATGCACCATTGTGGTCAGCTGCATCACTGGTGACCAGGTACAGAGATGTCAACTTTGAACTTCCATGTTGATATGAAAGGCTGTTAGTTGCCCCAAATGAATTGTATCCAAAACGGGAACTAAAGGCAGCCCTCTGCTCCCGTGTGCACACACCACCTTTCTTCCCTTGCTGCATCAATCTTGATTCCTTCATATCCTTCCGGGCCAGGATGTCTCGTAAGTGCCTGCCAAAGAATTTGGCACGACTCTCTGATGAAGTTGATGAAAAATATCTCCTCCAACTGGGATAGAGGTTCTTTGGCAACTCATGCCTCTTGGGAAAAATCGATCGGCCCATGGGCCGAACGGTGCTGTAGCGATACTTCCCCAAACGTTGCGCCCTTTCCAAGGCACGAAATGCTCGCACAAAAGGTGCACGAAAAGCCGCATGGGCACCATTCACGCCAGTGCCACCAGCATTGAAACCTCTGCCGAGTCCCAGAGGCACTGGCTGTGTCTTTGGCATCTTCGGCACCCAACGGACAGTGGGTCTGACCATTGCTGAGAGTTCTGCGGCCTGCACGGGCTGAACCGGTTGAGAGCCACGAAACAAATTCCGTGCTGCAAGAGGAAGACGTGCTTCCAGCTGAGCCCATCTCGCAGCAACAAATTCCGTGGCAGCCTCTGTGGCTGTGCGTTGGAAAGGTCGGACCAAGGGGTTGTTCTGCTCCTCATCACTGGAGCTTTGGAGTAGACGAGTAGCTGGGCATTTCACAAACAACACCAGGAGCCACAGAAGCCACGGCAACGCCGCACGCATGGCGTGGGCACCCTGGGCAGCGTGGGCAGCGTGGGCGGTCGCTGAGGCTTGAGCAGTTTCAATGCCATGCCTCAAACATTGTTAGGCTTAACCGAGGCCACTCGGTAAAACTTGAGTTCCAGTAAAACGTGAATTCCAGGAAGAATGGTTGCAATTATTCATAAGCAAACGAGTTCATCTTTTAAATCAGTGAAACTCTCTCTGTCAGGTTCTGTGTCCAAGACGTCCTCTTGAACCTCCAAAAATTTCGTGCCACAGGCCTGGCAAATTGTTGGATATCTCTCGCTGCTTCCAACAGCTACAGCCTTCAGTTGTGGTGTTATCGCAACTGTGCACAAAGATCACAAAAAAAAACTGGATTATGGAAGTTTTGGGACTGAATGCAATCAATAAATTTAGATTTTTGCACCTATACATCCAATAAATGTTGAAATTTGATTGTTTGTTCATTTGACCAACCCAAACTTCTCCAAATCAACCCATGCAGGTTTTGTCGCTGCCTAAGGGATAACCAGTAGCATCCTGACGCGCGAAAGTCTCAAATCATTTGAGGCCCCAAAATTTGGGTTACACGGGTGGCACCAAAATCATCTAGTGTTGGGGTCCGGAAATTTAAGCAACCCCCATTTTTCAAGCAACGATCGCATTTAATGATCAAAATCAGCGCTACTTCAAACAAACTCGGAAAGATTGGGGATCAACTCCCATGGGGTCATCAATTTTGCTTTCATCGAATCGACTGTGTGAAGACTTCGTTGGGGAAGTCCATAACAAATATATTTTTAACTAAAGAATTGAGGTTAATTGGAAGACCCAATGGAGTTCGAACTATATATATATAAATGTTTAAAAAACATTGGATTGTCCAAGTTCCAGATTTTCCAAGGGATTTATTTGGAATGCCAAAAAAAACTGCGGAAGAAAGCACCAAAAAGTACTCCCCTTGGTGCGCTTGTCGCTGCATGTGTCTGTGAAGGCCCAACTGTCAACTGAGTTAATGACCCGGTCGCAGGTCCCTGACCATTGGCAATGCCTGATGCGGAAGCTGCTCAACACTGGTCCAAAATGGGGTCGAACACCCATTTTGAAGAAAATGGGGTTCAGCCTCTGTTCGAATGAGTTTCATCTAATCATAAAATCTCAAAACAAACCTGTTACCTGCCGCAGTCCGAGCCTCCGGTGGACTTTGACGGATGGATTTGTCTGAATAAAATGGTTTGAAAACGTTGGTAAATCATCACTGACCCCATTAAAATAACCATTTTCGGGAGCTAAATCCCCCAATGTCGGACCCACCCAATCCATTGCAAGGAAGTGATTCCGACCTCTTCAAAACCAAAGACCTCTATGAGGTTTGTCCAAAAATAGGGCATCCCGAGATCCCTTAGATTGGGCGAAAAGTCCGCTGAAAACGACCGAACAGGTGACCACCAGTTGAGCCACGGTACCCAGGTTACAGCAGGCCATTTGGATGCCCACTGATGCCCACCTGGTCGGGACCACTGAGCCAAAATCAAGCACCGCAAAACAAAATAATGTGGTTCAATGTGCCCACGATCCATGCGTCGCATGATTTTCTGGAATCTGCATCTGTTTGATTTTTCCAACAACACGATACGGATTGTTCTCCATGTTGGGCGGTGTTTTTGTCATTCAATCACTTTCCGACGTAAGTTTTCACACATTTTTGTTTTGAAATTTGGAAAATCAACTGATATCTGGGGGTGCCTGCCAAAAGATGTGTTTTCGGTTCGACATTGAAGTGGTTTCCCATAAAGCACGGTATTGAACCCTCGGGATATCTTCCATAAATCATCACAGTTTTGCATGTTCATAGCACGCTTATTAGTTCTATCCATCTATCTATCTACCCACCTACCTGTTTATCGGTCTACCTGTCTCACTATCTACCTATCTACCTATCTACCTATCTACCTATCCATCTACCTACTTTTTTATCTATCTATCTACCTATCTATCTATCCATCTATCTATCTATCTATCCATCTATCTACCTACCTACCTATCTTTCTATCTATCTATCTATCCATCGATCTATCTATCTATCTACCTACCTAATCTATCGTTCTAATCCATCTAATCTATCTATCTATCTATCTATCCATCTATCTATCTATCTATCCATCTATCTACCTACCTACCTATCTTTCTATGCACATACCTATCTATCTATCGATCTATCTATCTATCTACCTACCTATCTTTCTATGCACATACCTATCTATCTATCGATCTATCTATCTATCTACCTACCTAATCTATCTTTCTAATCTATCTAATCTATCTATCTATCTATCCATCCATCCATCCATCTATCCATCTATCCATCTATCCATCTATCCATCTATCTATCTATCCATCTGTCTATCTATCCATCTATCTATCTCTCTATCTATTTACCTATCTATCTAATCTATCTAATCTATCTAATCTATCTAATCTATCTCATCTATCTCATCTATCTATCTATCTATCTATCGATCTATCTATCTGCATAATCTATCTTTCTAATCTATCTAATCTATCTATCTATCTAGTCTATCTATCTATCTAATGTATCTAATCTTTCTATCTATCTAATCTATCTATCTATCTATCTATCTATCTATCTAGTCTACCTATCTATTTATCTATCTATCTATCTATCTATCTATCTACCTAATCTATCTTTCTAATCTATCTTATCTATCTATCTATCTATCTATCCATCCATCCATCTATCTATCTATCTAATGTATCTAATCTATCTATCTATCTTATCTATCTTTCTATCTATCTATCTATCTATCTTTCTATCTATCTATCTATCTATCTATCTAGTCTACCTATCCTTTTTATCTATCTATCTATCTATCTTTCTATCTATCTACCTATCTATCTATCTATCTAATCTATCTATCTATCTATCTAATCTATCTAATCTATCTAATCTATCTAATCTATCTAATCTATCTAATCTATCTAATCTATCTATCTTTCTAATCTATCTAATCTATCTATCTATCTATCTACCTATCTATCTATCTATCTATCTATCTATCTATCCTATCTATCTATCTACCTATCTATCTAGTCTACCTATCTATCTATCTATCTATCTATCTATCTATCTATCTATCTATCTAATCCATCTATCTACCTATCTATCTATCTATCTAGTCTATCTATCTATCTAATGTATCTAATCTTTCTATCTATCTAATCTATCTATCTATCTATCTTTCTATCTATCTTATCTATCTTATCTATCTTATCTATCTTATCTATCTTATCTTATCTTATCTATCTATCTATCTATCTACCTATCTACCTATCTACCTATCTACCTATCTACCTATCTATCTATCTATCTACTTTCCTATCTAACTATCAGCCTACCTCTCTCTATCCACATATTTTTGTACGTATCAATCAGTCTACCTATCTGTTTCCCTTTCAATCCGTCCCATCTACCTGTCTAACTATCAATCTATCTACCTACCTATCTATCTACCTATCAATCTATCTTTCTTCCTATCTACCTATCTACTTTTCCATGCCTGAAGGTTATAGCCCCATCAAAGTTTAAGTATCGTGATCAAATATATTCCCACCCACATAGATATACATGGTTTCCTCTGATAGGTTCCTGATGCCTGTTGCTTCATGGTTGGTTCCTATCTACCTATCTACCTATCTACGTATCTATCTACGTACCTATCATCTACCTATCTACCTATCTACCTACCTGCCCTATCTATCTACCTATCTACCTACCTATCTTCCTATTTATCTGTCTATTTGTCCGTCCATCCATCCATGCATACATCCGTCTGTCCATCCATTCATCCATTCATCTATCTATCTTGACTCATCTAATCTACTCAACTCTAATCTATTCTGTTACAATCTTTTACTAAACTAATACGGTCTATTCTTTCAACTCACCTCATGCCATCTCATCTCATCTCACGTCATCTCATCAATCTAATCAAATCTAACCTAATCTAATGCAATGTATCCTTCTATCCATCGACCCATCTATCTATAATCTATGCATCCATCCATCCATGCATTCACGCAACATCCATTCATCCATCCATCCATCCATGCATCTATCTATCTGTTTGTCGAACAATCTATCAATCTATCAACCCACCAATCTGTCTATCCATCCATCTGTCCATCTGTCCATCTGTCCATCTGTCCATCTGTCAATCTGTCCATCGGTCTATCTGTCTATCTGTCTATCTGCGGCTGGCAATGTCTGCCGTGCTTCCACTCCCGCCATGGATGGCGTCAACGGAGTCGCCTTTGGGAGACGGCAGCTCCTTTCGGGACCCAGCAGCTTCAAGACAGCTTGAGATTTTCTTCAGTTCGGCAACCATCACTGATCTCTCTTCCCTGTCCTTCTTCATTGCTTCACGGTGTTCTTTCATGTGCTCTGTCAGACGGTCGCACAAGCCCAGGATGGATTTCATAATCGGAATCTTGCCATGAGCACCTTGGCAATAATCCCAATCCTGATTTTCTCCCAATTTCTTCGTGACTTTGAAACAGTCTTTCATTTCAGCTTTAAACCCGCTGAGTTGCCCTGCGTAGTATTGTATTCCTCCATGGGTGGCATCCATGCCACGCAGCACTCTTTCCAATCCTGAGTCAAGTTTTCTTCTGGGAGGCAACAATGGTATCACGGATGTCCTCATGGTTACTCATAGCTTGAGCATTTCCTTGACTCCATTTGTTGCCCTCCGGAGCTCAATGACACACTCCTGCAAAGCACTGTATGCCAATTCTTGTTCCCTGCGTCTCTTCTCACTTGGCTCTTCAGCGAAGAACTCTGGAATGGTGTCCAAGGTCCCCTTCCCTTTGGAATCACCTTTCTCTCCCTCCGCCCTCATTGGGCTCGCTGGCCGAACTTCTGTTCCCCAGGATCCAGGTGTTCCCTCCAAGGTCCCAGACGCCATCTCCGGTCCTGGTCCCTTAGGCGTCTTCCGCAGAATCGGCCATTACAACACGGAAGAAGAATCCACGTA